GACAGGGTGCTCGCGGCTCATCTGTAGGGCCCAGCCCCAAAAGGTGGAGTTTTGGCTTCAGGATCAGGACCAGGACCAGAACCAGGAATGAGACCACATTCCCACACCGGGGAATGGCTGAAAAAGCCGTTCCTTCCATCCAGGAACGAGCAGACCCAGACTTTATGGACTTTATGCTCCCTTCAGCGCATTAACGTTACCAGGAATGAGCTGCAGAAGTCTCCCTGGCGTCATTCGGAGGAGGGCAGCCCTGCTGCAGGGCCACAGCTCCCAGCCAAGTGCTTAATAATAATAATAATAAAAATAATAATAATGATGATGAGGTGAGGGGAACGGCCCCGGCCAGCACGGGCCAGGCTTGGTCCTTTTGCAAGGAGCCAGGAGGGGAAGTTTTGCCCCCCCATTGAAGCCCCGACCCAACGCACGGAGGGGCGAGGAGTTTTGGTGGGACCCCGTGCGGGTCGGGGATGCTCTGCGGGATGCGCAGCGGGGCAGGACCAAGTTGTGCCCACGGTGATGCCCAGGAGCACCCCCAGCCTCCAGCTGCTCTGGGAAGAAAAAAAGGGTCACCAGCAGCGTGGGCAGCCCCCCAGTCCCCCTCCACACCCGCCCTATCCATGAGTTACTGCCCGCGGAGCCGCCCCGTGCCCGAGCTGGGCTGGGTGCTGCCGTGGGGCAGGGGGCAGCACCTCGGCCGTCCCCCCGCAGGGACCTTCCCCCATCCATCACTGTCCCAAGGGGGTTTGATCGCACGTAGCCCGTGCCCGGGATGTGATTTATTGCCTCGCCACGGAGAAATCGCTCGCTGGGCTGAGAGGCTGGGTTTGGGTGACGGCGGCAGGCGCGGCGTCCTGCCCCCACCACGGCTCCGGTGGGAGCCCTCATGAGCCACTCGGGGGTAATTTGAGGTGCAAAAAACATGAAATACAGATCCAGACCCAGCAATTAGTGGAAGAAATATGGAATTCATCATGTTTTAATCAAGTTTATCGGGTGGACCTGCCTGCGGTGGCTTGCGGCAAGAAGGTCCTCGAGGTCCCCGCGATGCTCACCGGGGCCTCAGGACACCCCAGGAGGATTTTCGCCTGCTCCAGCCCCAAACCTTTAAACTCTGAGCTCAAAGTCACTGAAATACCCCAGATCTCAGGGCACAGCCTGGCTCCAGGCAGATATGAAATGGTTGCAGATGGGGAGCTGCTGCCCACCCTCTGGCACGACCCCATCCGTCCCCTCGCCCCCATCCATCCCCCGGTGCCCCGAGCTGTCCCCTGGTCCCCTCCTCCCCAGCTGTCCCCCGGAGCAGCAGCTCCTTGTGATGCGTTTTTAGGGCAGGCTGATTTATGCCCTGCTCCCCCAGGACCCACCGAGAAATGAGATGTTGCCTTTCAGGAGTTTATCCTGGGGAGCAAATAAATAAACCGAGGAACGGAAACCTCATGAATTTTTGAAGGAGCTTATCAAAATCTTTTCTTCTTCCCTTTTCCCTACGGCAGGATGGCTGAAAGGGGAGCCAGCCCCTCGCTCTGCCTTCTCTGCGCTCCTTTTCCCCTCAATCTCTTAATCGTCTTGCTTCCAGCTTTAATCCACGTCGTTGCCTCTTTCTTAATTATTTTTTTTATCCCCCCCTCTCCAAATAATCACAAAAACAATGCCAACATATGGGAGGCCGCATCCACCCTGGCCATGCCGTGTGCCTCCGTGTAAGTCTGCCACACCCTTACAACATCCCTCTTCCTTTTTTTTCCTTCTTTTTCCCCAATTTTTCCCCCAATTCGTGGCCATGGGGCGCTTGTGCTCGCAGGCAGCCCACGCTGCCGCACTGCGAAGGACAGGAGATCCCATCGCTCCCGGGAGGCTCGCATCCCCACGGCTGGCATCCTGATGAGTTAATTAAGAAAAAAGCAGGGCAGGAGAGGTGCGAGCCCCTGGGGACAGCTCCTGGGAGATGCAATCTCCGGGAGAGATGCTCGTGGGTCCCAGGGGGCTGCTTCCCAGGGGGGCCGGGAGATGCTGGTGCTGGGGACAGTCCCTGGGGAGCCTCGGCCGCAGGATGCGGCGCTTGGGGTGCTTGGCTTGTGCCCACCAAATTTCCCCCAAATTTTGGCACGCCCAGCCAAAATTCAGCTCCTGCATCTTGCTCCTGCCAAAGTCGTAATGATGCAAAATGGAAATGGAAAAGAAGAGGAGGCCGGGCATCTGCACTGCCAGCAGCAGCTCATTAGTTGGCGGCGCCTGGTTTCTCCAGGCTCTGTTTTTTTTTTTGTTTTATTTTTTTTTTCTGGCCCCCCTCGCTCAGGTTGGCCGGAGCGGGGACAGGCACCGGGAGCTCGAGGTCTGCTGGGTGTTGACTTTTCATCAGCTGCTCCCCGATAATGCAGCCCCGCTCCCCCCCCCGGCATCTGGCAGGGACACCTTGGGGACAGCGGTGATTTTGGGGACATTTTCCGGACTCCTCCTCAGGAGGAAGGCAGAGCCCTCCCTGCCCCGCTCCAACCCCAGCAGCACCCCCCTGCAACAGCCTTGGCCTTGGGCATTTTGAGCACTGGCTGCTCAAAACGCTGACATTTCGAAACACAAAAGGCCTGAGTGTGGTGGTGGCGGCTTCAAAACCAAACTTGTTTTTCTCCATCCCGGCTCATTAGAGGCACAGAGCAAGAAGGCAGCGAGCGAGCCATTTAAATTGTAGATTCTGACCTTTACGCTTAAGATCTCTTCAGACATCCTGTTTACAGCTTTTTTTTTTTTTTCTTTTTCTTTTTTTTTTTTTTTAATTTCTTTTTGTGCTAGCACTTCATAATCCTCAAAATGAGATTTTACGCAGCCCTTTTTCGCTGCCTGTAATGCACCACATCCTCTTTTCTTTCCCCACTGAGGAGCCTCCCCGAGAGCTCCTGAGCAGGGCCACCGGTCAACACCACAGCCCGTGGCCGTGGCGGGGAGGGGACACCCCGCTGCAGTGTCCCCAAATAAGTGGGGACACCGGGTGGCCTCACCAGGGTGCCCCCAGTCCCTGCGCTCACGCAATGGAAGCTGCGGGCTCTGCTCCCCTTGATAAGGATGTTTGTAGAGACCTCAGCCGTCCTTTTTGGCTGCAAACCCTACGTCAAGGGGTATTTGGTGACCTTGGCACTTGGGGACACTTCAGGGCAAGGTCAGACGTCCCCTGGCAATTGCCTGGGGGTGGGAAATGTCCTTAAACACCTGCGGAATGGGGCCAAGCCTCACCAGGAGGAGCTCGGAGACCCAGAGCGTGATCTGGAGTCACTTGGTTTATATCTGGAGTCACTTCATTTATATCCAGAGTCACTTCATTTAAATCTGGAGTCACTTCATTTAAATCCGGAGTCACTTCATTTATATCTGGAGTCATTTCGTTTACATCCTCGAGGGAAACGCCGCATTTGAGCCTGGCCTCCCCAGCCCAGCATCCCCAGTGGCTCTCGGTGCAGGCCCAGAAAAAAAAAAAAAAAAAAGAAAAAAAAGAAAAGCGAAAGTCTTTGAGAGCTATTTTTTGTGCGTGCTATTTTAAACCGCTGCCTCTGAGCTCTCCCTCACGCCCACCGCCACGGCTGCGCTCGCCTCGCCTGCCGGCGCTGACCAAATCCTCATTCGGCCGCCCTGCGCATGCTGCAGAACCCCAAAGTTTGCACTTCTCAGCCACTTCCCGCACCGCAGCCCCTCGCCCTGCACCCCCACGGGACCACGTCGGCCTCGGGTTGGAGGCGCAGCGAGGTCTGGGCAGGCAGCAACTTTTTTTGGGGTGATGCCCATGCAGGGCGCATCCCGGCAGGAGACCTGGAACTGAAGACAGGAGCTGTGGGATGGAGCCCCGGGTGCTGGCCCCCCGAAAAATTGGGGACAGCTCCTTGCTGAGCCTCCAGCCTTGGCTGTGTGGAAGGAGGCAGTGCTGGCGGGGTGTTTGCACGAGCAGAGCGCGCAGCCCGGCGCCGGGGAGATAAAAATAGTGCGCGCAGCTCCGCAGCCCGCTGCGTGGAGCCGAGGCAGCAGCTCTCCAGGCTGGTTTCCTATGGAAACGCCGCCGCCGTCCCTGCCTGCGCCTGCCTGGGGCAGCTTCGGATGCTCCCTCGCACATGGATGCTCCCGCAGCCAGCAAGGACGGAGCTGAGGCTGCAGTTTCCCTCTGCGGGGACGTCGCCAGGATCCGGCCCTCTCCCCGCTGCCGCTCGCCTGGAGCTCGAGGCCTCCTCACCGCCGGCTCGGAGACCTCGTGGGGTGCCCTGTGCGCCCCGAGCCCCTCGCGTGGGATCAGCCAGCGGGATAAATCCCCCCCTCGGCCCCCAAATCCCTGCGTGAGACAAAGGCACTTGGCAGAAGAAGGGGTCGTGTCGCCAAGGGTCCCTGCCCGAGCGGTGCTGAGGCACAGGTACGTGCTCCGGATCCTTCCTTCCTCGCGTCCTGGCACCAAGGGGTGGCTGGGGGGGGGGCTTGGAACAACGAGGACTGGAGGCAGCCCTAGGGGTTTCCAGTTCCCTGCACCCCAAAAACTCCCCCGCACCCCAAAAACTCCCCCGCACTGGCACGGCTGGAAGTTGCCGGGAGAAAGAAGCGGGGGCAAAAAATCCCCTCTCCATCCTGATGCCCGGAATTCTTCCAGCTCAAGGGAACTTTCCCATTTTATCCTTTTATCCTTTGATTTTTTAATTTTGTAATTTTGTAAATATCTCCTCCCCCCCCCTCTCCCCAAGCCGTGGCTGACCCCAGCAGGGGCCGGGAGCGCACCGGGGATGGAGAGGGGGGGACCGGGACCGGGGATGCTCCGCGCTGCACCCGGAGGCGAAGGGGGGGCGCGCCCCCGGTCGGGGGCCTCCCGTAGCCACGGGGACCCCCCCCGCACCGCCACCCCCCCAGTTCCTCCGGGAGCCTCGGGGGGGCCGGGCTCGGTGGGGAAGGAGTTAAGGGAAGGGAACCGGGCAGCGCCGTTAAATCCCGGCGGCGGGGAGCGGCTGCGGGCAGAGCGCGGCGGCTGCCGCCGGGCCGCATCCTGCATCCCGCATCCCCCCCGCATCCCCCCCGCATCCCCCCGCATCCCTCCCGCATCCTCCATCCCTGCCGCCGGGCATGGTTTGGCCCCTGGGGGGGGTGCCCGGCTCCCCCCCGCCCCCGGCCCCGCTGGAGGAGAGCGCATGGAGCGGGGGCGGCAGCGGGCGGGGAGGCCGCCGCCAGCAGGTAGGGGCAGGCTGAGGTTTTTTTTTGGGGGGGAGGCGAAAATCGAAGCTGGGGGGGACGGTTGGGGGGTGCAGGGTTTGGGGTGCGGGGTTTGGGGTCGGGGATTTGGGGTCCAAGATTTCGGGTCCGGGGTTTGGGGACTGGATTTTGCGCTGCGGGGCTGAGAGGAAGGGGTTAACCCCCCCCCCCCCCCGTTTTAAAAATAATAATTAAAAAAAATCGTCAAAAAAAGCAGAAAGCGCAACAAATGAGCTCGGGGAGGGGGGGGCGCTGTGCTCGTCCCCCCCTCCCCATTGCTGGTGGGAACCCCCCCCCTCCCCATGCAGCGACCTCCTGGGGTCCCCGGGGAGATGCGCTCCGCGGGTGCGGGAAGTTGTGGGGGGCTTCGGGGGGGTCCCCGGGGGCTCCAGGGGCTCCGCAGGAGCTGGGGATGGATCTCCCCAGGGCAGGGGGGGGTCGCTCTGTGTCCTGCTCCTGGGGCGAGGGGCTCCTGGCCCCCAGAGGTGCAGGGGGCTGGTGGGGAGATGCTCTCCCCCTCCCCAGACTTTGTGCAGAAGCGTCCTCGGCAGGGGAAATGGGCAGCTGGTGATCCTTTCCAGCCAGCCTCCCCCGTTCCTTTTCTTCCTCCGGCATCCGCACGGGCAACTTATTGGAATATTTTAATATAAAGTTAGAAAAAAAAATTAAATAAATAAATGAGGGGTGTGCATGGAAAAGCAGGAGGCGATCGGGAAGCGCCTGAAGGTTACCTTGAGCGGAGGGTTCCAGGCTCCCCTGTCCCTGCCTCCCCCCCAAAAAAAAGCAGAATTAAATAAAGTTGCTCAGCAATCTGGAGCTGGGGAAGCACAGCACGCTCTGGTAATGGGGTCTGGCCCTGGGGTGTCCCTCTGGACCCCCCCCCCTATTTGTACCCTGCCGTGCTGCGACCTCCTGGGGCAGGGTGTGCTGGGTTCCCCCTGCTGCTGGAGAGCTTCTGGGCCCTTTGTGTCCAGCACCAAAAAGCATTTTTCTTGTCCCAGAGACAAAAACCTCATCCTTAGCAGAGCCCCCTGGCCCAGGCAGGATGGGGAGCAGCGGGGGGGGGAGCAGGAGCTGGCCCTCTCCACCATGGTCCTGGGCATTTTGGGGGGGACCTAGGGTTAGGACCTGAAGCCACGCAGTGACTCGGTGTAGTGGGAGCTGCTGGATTTATGCACAGGAGCAGCAACCGTGGCGTAATTTGGCCAGGTGCAGCCGAACGGAGGCAGCCCCAGATGCAGTGCAACATTTTGGCACGGCACCTTGGCGTTCGCTTGGTTTTTAAAGACGTTTCCCTCCTCCTGCCTTGCTGCTTCGCCGTTCCGGGCTGCGCCGCCGGCGCGTTGCAGAGCAGCAGGAGGGATTTTTCTTCCCGTTTCTGTCCTTGGTGTTCTCCCGGGCTGCAGAGATGGTGGCTGTGCCTTGAGGGGGGTCCTAAAATGAGCCGAAATATGTGAGGTCTGCAAGAGTGGGGGGAGCCAGCAGCCGTGCAACGCCTCCACCCCATGGGGACAAGTCACCGTCCCCTGACCTGCCACCCGTTCCCAGCCCCATCCCCTCTGCCGGGCTCCTGGAGCCTGCAGCACTCAGGGAAAATGCAGATTTCTTCCCAAACTGTGCCTCCAGCCCCCCGTGCAGCAGGATGCGAGAGCGATGGGTGTGCAGCAAAAGAAATAACTCAGCCCCTCGGGAGAGGAGGCTTTGAAACGAGGGCTGCAGGAGCCGATCTTCCTCGCTGTATTAATTCCAGCAGGCTGCAGAAGGCATCGTCTGCTGCTTGACGAGCTGGTTTTCCTAATTGCCCCGGTGATGGGAATAATCCCAGATTAACGAGGAGCCCCCACAGCAGAGACCTGCAGGAGCAGAGTGGGGGCTCCGCGGGCAAATTGGGGTTTGTGTCCCCTCCGCAGGAGATGGGATGCTGGTGGGGGACACCAGGGCACTCACGGGGGGTGTTTTGGGGCTGAGCAATCTCTGGGGACACACACACACACCTGGCAGCCCCTCATGGTGACCCCATGGTGGGATTTAGGCTGATCTATGCCCCACGAGGGGTGGTCCTGGTGGTGCTGCTCGCGGGGGGCACCTGGGTGTGAGGTTTTCCCTGGGGGGCCTGGCTTTGTCACCCGGTGTCATCACCTCAGCATCGCCCCTAAACCTCAGCAGGAAGGTCTGGCTGCAGGATCCCTTCCTGATCATGAAGCACAAGTGAGAAAACCGCCAGCACTGCAGCTCCCTGGGGAGCGATGAGCCTGGGGTCTGCGGGATCTGGCAGCGATGGCTCGGGGCCGCTCTGCTGCTGCAGCGCTGCACCGAGGCTGGACCCCATACCCCAAATCCTGTCCCCCAGGGCAAGCAGCGTGGATAGGGGTGGAGGTGGCCCTGGGGATGCTTCGCTGCCCGGTCTCACGAGGGCACCAGCGAAGGCGGCTGCTGCCGAGCGCTCGTCCCCTCCGGTGCGTGTCTTGGCTCGCCAAGGCTCGCTGAGAACCGTAACTGGATTTTGCAGACTGGGCATAAAAGACCCAGCACATAATGCGTATTAAAACTCATTAGGTTAAGCCAATTTCCAGATGCAGTGTCATTTGAATGAAGTTAAATCACCTTTTTTTTTTTTCACAGGGCTTAAGTGTCGAAAGGGTGCCAGGGGCGAGGATGGCTTCATTTTTTATTTATTTTTTATTTTTTTTTGTGGTTTTGGGGATGAAAGAAGAGGGAGGGAGGGAGATCAGGCTGGGAGCAGCGATTCACGTGGCTGAGATGGAGGAGACCTCTCTGAAACGCTGCTGGGTGCCACGGGCAGCACCAGCCCGGCCCTGTCTGCATCCAGGGAAACCGCAAGAAAAATGTGCAGACCGGCGAGGTGGCTGCAGGCGATGGAGGCGCAGAGCTCCTGTTGTGGCCTTGCGAGGGAAAAACATGGCAATGATGGCAAAACTGAGGTTGGGCGGCTTTGCACGGGGGTGGTGCTGATGCTGGGACTGGGATGTTCCTTCTCTGAACCCACTCAGGTGCTGTGAAAGGAAACCCAGGTGCCCATTTGGGGCATCCCATCCCATCCTACCCGATCCCCGCATCCTCGCCCTGCCCGGAGCTCTGGCACGCACGGCTCTTCTCCCACTCTGCCTTCAGCATCGTGGCGTGTGCTTTTTAAATGATTCACAGCTTGAAACATTTGTCTTTACCAGGCGCTTTCCCACTCGCAAGGGGAATGCATCACACAGGAGGATGCAACGGGCTCCGGTGTCATTGCGTGCGGGGGAACGGAGCCAGGCAAAACCCAACCTTGGCTGCTCCGCTCGGGCCACGGCAAAGCAAACGGGCAGGGAAGCAGAGGATCCTCCGAGCAGCTCGATGTGGGGCTGTTCTGAGTCCCTGCCCCACAGAAAACCCCGCTAGCCCCTGGGGACCGGCATCCCCTGCACAGGGCTCGGGGCGTTCGGGGGAATTTGCAGCCCCAGCTGGAAACGAGGCGGGCGCACGGCTGGGTGTCAGCGCAGGGAGCCGGTAGGAGGCTGTGCAATTAGCACGGCGCTGTTTCGGGGATCTCGAGGCCTTTTGCAAATGTTAATCAAGCCGTTCTGAGCACCGCGTCCCTGCGGAGGAGAGGAGCTGCAGTGTGGGTTGCCTCCCAAGCTCGGAGCTCCGTGCGCAGCCGGGCTCGTGGCGCAATTTTCCCCCTCGCCACGGTCAAGTGCTGAGCACCCGGTCAGTAAATCCTCCGGAGAAGTTAAAAATCAGTTCCTGCCCATGAGCGAGACGGTCAGCTGCCCAATTTCAGCTCTAACCCTCCATCGATTCCCAGCCAGGAGGAAGATTTGCAAACCTTCAGACGTGTTTGGAAATCTTGAAAAAAAAATAAAAAAATCTATCAGCAGACGGCCAGATCCTGCTCTGGATTTACAAATCAGGCCGATACACCCCGGATTGTTTTCCCTTTGCATATCTCAGGGTCTCAGCCCGCAGAAGGGGCTGCGGAGCCCACTGGGGCTGACCCCAAGCCCTGCATCGTGCTCATGGGGCAGAGCCACCCAGCACAGCGGCGCACACGGAAACCTTCCCTGCGCCCCCCTCCCGGCGGGGGCATGCGCAGGCACATTTCTCAGCAGGATTAAGGCAGGGAGCAGCTGAATTCATCAAGTTTCCTTGGGTTTGAAGGCAGCTGCCTGCTCAGCGAGCCCAGCTCCCCCCGGCAGAGGCAGTTTTGGGAGCTGGGTGCCGCAGCAGGGAGCACCCACGGGTGCTGTGACCCATCGGCGTGGCCGCAGCAGGGCTGCAGGAACCCCGGCTGCTAATTACCCGTTCCGCTCAGCTTCCTTCCCAGCAGCATTATTTAAATTCAGCCAAACGCAGCTCATTTTCTGCTCCTGCTTTGCAGCATGGGATGAGCTTACACCGCGGGTGGAGGCAGATCCCCGGGGAGCTCGCGTTGCCCCACTCCTGCCGGGGCACCGAGGGGCACGACGTCCCCGTGCTGAGAAGCCACCAGGTCCCCAAACCTGGCTGGGGACTTCTGGGGGACACCAACTCCAGGGACCCTGTGCCCTGGGTCCTGCTCCCCGTGTGGGACCGTGCCGGGTGGGTGCGTTGGTGCCCGCGCCACCGGGCACGTCGCCCGGCCCTGCCTGCCAGCCTCATCCCTCGCTATTTTAAAGCCCTATTCTTCCCCTGTCCCACTGATAAGAAATGCTAATGACGTGATGAAATTGGATAGTTCAATCGCCTGCTCCTCCTAATGGAACTCTTGTGTTCGTTAATTTGCTGTTTTTAATGGGCTGATTGTTCTCCGCGGCTGGGGGAGCCACGTGAGCACTCGAGCGCGTTTGGCAGTGGTCAGATGTGAGGTGGTGCTTGAAGGCAACTGAACCTTGGTGCTCAATAATTGCAGAGCAATTTGGAGATAAGGCCCAAATGTATAATTTAGCGGCGCTCCGGCCACCCCGGTCACGAGCAGCCGCAGAGAACGTCAGGGCCCCGTGCCTCCCCCCCCGGGCACCGGCTGCGCGTGGGGAAGGAGCTTTGGGATCCCCCCAGATCCCTTCAGCGGGACAGGAGCAGGGCACGGGGTGCTGCCAAGCCAGGATCCGCGCTCCCAAGACTTCCCGAAGGTTTCAGCTCTGGCAGGAGCACGAGGGTGGAGGTAGGTGAGGATCCAGCCCCCGCTTTGCTGCTGCTCCCCAGGCTGGATCCGTCCCCTGGCACCCAGAGCAGCAGGAAAATAAATTGGTGAGGGTTGGGGGATAAATAAACCCTGGTGGTGCTGCTGCCTGTCCCCAGCCCGGGCTGGGTTTAAGGACGGGCTTTTTAGGGGCTGCTGGCCCCCAGCCATGTCCCAAGACCCCGCCGAGGTTGGATGCGCCCCCGTTGCTGGCTCCGTCGGCCGTGCTCACTGTTGGTAAAGCCCGGCCAGCCAGGGAGCAGTGAGAGGAGCGCATTATCTCCTCCAGACAATTAGCGGAGGCGTTAATGGAATATATGCAAATGTGCGGTAATTGACCTGCGACTCCGCAGTTCGTGATGGAGAAGGATGAGCTCCAGATGGCTTCAGGAGAGCGGCTGAAGCCGCTTCTCTCTGGGGCTGGGGGGACGGGGCTGGGGGACGCGGGTGGCAGCGGGGATGGGGACATGGGGACACGGAGCCAGGACAGGGACAGCAGAGCATGAGGTGCCTGCTGATGCAGAAGCCTGATGCCAAATAATCTCCTTGCTCAGCTGCTGCTCCGAGTTTACTCATCCTTTACTTACTGGGGCTGTGGAGGGCTTGGTCTGTGGGGACCCCCGGAGAACACCCACCAAAGAGTGGGCTGTAGGGGGGGCTGCCCAAAATTCACCCAAGAGGTGATTGAATAACGACTCCGGGAGCCCCAATTAAAATATTTATGTATAATTCATGCCATATGTTCCGCCAATATTTTTTATTTAATCAACTCAAGACAGATGGCGGGAACATAGAGGCCATTAAACTAATGGCACTTCGTCTTCCCATTTATTTTCGTCTCCTTTCCGAAAAGAAGACGAGCAAGTGACAGGCGGCGAGGCCCGGGTGTGGGATGGTGGCCACGGGTCGCGGGAAGGCTGGCGGTGACATTTCCCGTGGTGACATCCCCCACGGTGACACCGGGCTTGGCTCGCTCCTGGCCTCTCCGTGGCGCAGGGGCTTGGGGTGGGCGCAGCAGGAGGATGCTGTGGGTGCCCCCCTCCCCGAGGCAGCCCTGGGAATGGGGCAAAATCACAACCCCCCGTGCCCTGAGCCTTCCTGCAGCTCTCCCGTAGCACCCCCTTTGTGAATCCCCCCAGAATTGCTGCTTGCTGGTCACCGATGTCACCACGTTGCCAGCTCCTCCGTGCCCCCCTGGCTTCCCTGCAGGCGAGGGCAGCTCCGGTATCAGGATCCTTTCCCGGTGACGGGGAGGTGGTTTTCCACGGGGTCCCCTAATAAATGCCTTTCTCTTTTTCTTGCAGGTGGAGCTTTCTTGCCCTGGGACCGAAATGAAGGGGGCTGTGCTAGGCACAGGGCCCCAGCTGGCATCGCGGGGCCGGAGACGCGCCCGGGGGCTCCTCACTCCTCACCCGGAGAGCCGACAGCGCCGCTGCCCCTAGAGATGCTGCCCCCAGCCACCGAGCAGGGCTGCACCCACTGATCGGTCCCAAACCAGCCCCTACACCCCATGATCTCCCCCGCTGCCACATCCCGGGGGGCTCAGCCAGGAGGGGAATAAAACGGAGCCCCCCATCAGCGCGCCCCTTTGGATACCCCGCGGCGAAGGAGAGCAGGCTCCCTGGCTCCCGCCCCGGGGAGGGATGAAGACGCCATGGCCAAATTCCTGGTGAAATTCCAGCGGTATTTTCGGCGGAGACCCGTGCGCTTCTTCACCCTGCTGGCCCTCTACCTGGCGGCCGGCAGCTTGGTTTTCCTGCACGCCGGCTTCACGGGGGAGCCCCGGGTGGCGGGCAGCCCCCGCGGCCCCGCGGCGGGCGAGGGTCAGGAGCTGCCCTACCTGGGGGTGATGCAGCTGAGCCGCGGCTTCCCGGGGGCTGCGGGGGGCCGGCGGCGAGGGCCCCTGGTTCAAAAGCACCGCCAAGGAGCCGGCCGAGAGGAGCAAAGTGGGCGACTACGGCGCGGCACGGAGCCGGCCTGCTCAAGGGCAGGAGTGGCCGTGAGAAGGACGAGGACAGAGGTAAGGGCTGGAGGTGGGCGTGGGGCAAGCCTCGAGCTCCAGAGCCTTGGTCCCCGAGGTGTTTTTGGGCGTGCATCCCCATGGTGAGATGGGGAAGGAAACAAGGAAATGTTTTCTGCCCGTATCCTGGGGTCTTGTGCGCCCCAGGGTGCGCGCGCCCTGTTTTGGAGACCCCTGGTGCAGAGGATGATGCTCCCCCTCTCTCCCCCCTCCCCAAATACCAGCTGTCCACTTCCATTTTCCCATTTTCTCCCTCCTGCTCTGGGCTGTGCCGTGCTGTGACAGTGAGAGGCACTTTCAGGGCTGCCAGCTGGGGAGATGCTGATGGCGAGGACGGCTCTGGCCGCTCAGCCCCCAGCAGCCGGCGCCTTTTGGAAGCTCAGCATCAGGAAGCTCAGGCTCTGGGGCCAGGAGCTCCCTGCCCGCAGTGGGAGTGGGAGCGTTGTTAACGAACACGGGGAAGCGAATGCAGTCGCCCGCATTGATTTTTAAAATGTCATCTATTTATCCCGAAGGCAGCTCTGTGCGGAGCTTACCAAGGAGCCGTCTGCGGGGGCTTTTCCGAGGCAGCCCCATGCATGCACCACGCACCCGGTGCTGTCCCAGCCGCTGTCCCAATGCTCCTGCAGCTGGCACCCGTGGGTGGCAGAGCGAGCACCCTGCAAACCCCACCAAAACGCAGGGAAAACCCTTCACTGTGCCTCTGTGCTGGGGGTTTGGCAGGCAGCAGCCCCCAGTGTGCATTTAGCCCCCGAGCCCTCTCTCCGGCAGCTCCGTGCCCCCGCGGCGAAGCAGTAACTCGCCTCCTCAGCTGAGCTCCAGAGCTGCTGCCATGTGCTGGCGGTAATAACGTGGGCTGGGGAGAAGCAGCAACGCAGCCTGCTCCAGCACGCTGCACCCGTGACAGCAGCGGAATTAATTGCCTCGGTATTTAGGGCGATTATCCGTGGTGGGGAGCACCGAGCGGTGGCTCCCGGAGAGGTGCCCGCGTGCCACCGGGCTCTCCTCCGCCCTGCTGGTGCTGGCGTCCTGCCCCGAGCCCCACGGAGGTGCTGTGGGTGCTGCAGAGCACAAAATGTGCTGGTGGCTGTGATGCACGTGCCCGGGATGCCCTGGTGCTCCCCGTGTCCCCCGTGTCCCATTTGCTCGAGCGCCTGCAAGTTTCTGGCTGCCCCCATGGAGCCAGGCAAGGCTGGCATGAGTGTTCAGGGCTTGGGGATTTTACCAGGGGGGAATATTCACCTAAAGCATTTTCTGGTGCTAAAATGAGACAAGGAGGGGTTCCCCGTGGGTGACATTTCCACCCTGGTGCCCCCATCCTGTCGTGCACGGAGGGGCCGTCCCCGTGACACGTGTGGCTGCTCTGCCCCTTTGATGTGAAGTGACACTTGGAGAGGCTTCCCCAGCTGCTCTGCAGGAAGAAACCCTCAGAGACCATAAAAAATAAAAAAAAAAGCACAGCAGTGCTCCCATCCCTGGCCTTACACACCCTGTCCTTCACCACCAGCTGAGCAACCCCATCCTGGCCATCCTGGCCATCCTGGCCACGGGGGTCGGGGTGGGATGGAGCAGAGGAATTGGGCAGCTCCAGGTGTCCCCAAATCCCCACCCTTTGCCATGCTCACGTCTGGTGGGCTGCAGGACGAGGAGCTTGTCTTGGTGTACCTGGGTGCGTCCTCACCCATCGCCAGAGCCTTCCCGACGGCAGGCACCATCTGCACCAGTGCCGTGCGAGTGGTTTGGGGGAAAACATCTGCAAAAAAGCTTCGTGGGGCTGGGGAACAGCTCAGCGCCGGCTGCGGCAGGTCCTTTGATCAGCCAGCTGGAAAATCAAGGGCAGGTATTTGTTTCAAGCATCGCCCTGCAGCACAGCCCCGAGAAAACGCCTCAAAACGCCTGGGTTCTGCCTTTAACGGGGTAAATAGGGAGCTAAATGGGTCGGCCCCACAGCTGGCTCCTCGTCCCCGTAGTGTCCTCGCCTCTCCCTAATTATTCCAGTTGCCTTCCTAATCAGTTGCAGCATGCAGATGTCAAGGGCGATGGGTTGGACGTAATGCGCATCGGTCGGCGGCCGGGTGGAAATTGCTGGAGAAATCCTGCTCCGGTTAGGTCTGTCCCGGGTAAAAAATGAGCTGAGCTGATAAAACCTGCTCAGCGCCGTGGAAATGCCTAATTATGACGAGGGTAATTAGCGGTGAGGGGTGGCTGCCTGGTGGCAGGAGTTATCGGGCATGGTGCTCTCCGTGCTCCTCCACCCGAGCGCCAGGCTGGTGGGGAGCTGCTCGGTGGCACATAGGGGGGGTATGGGGTTGGGGGGGTGGTGCAGGGCCCCCCAGCAGGTGCAGGGTGCGAGCAGGAGGTGGGAAGTGTTAAACCACGTGGAGGTTTAGCAGGGTGCTAACGAAGGCACCTAACGAGGGAGCCTTATGGGGATGGGGACGTGCTGGCGGTGCCGTCCCTAACACGAGCCCACCAAGGCAAAGAGGAGCAGCACGGGGAAGGACCGCAGCCGAGGACGTGGCTGTGTGCTCGCAGGTTATTAGAAAAGGGTAAATTTGTCAAATACAGGATTTTCTTGGAACTATTTATTCAACTGTCCACCGACAGCTCCGTTCGCTCCCAGCGCCGGCGTCCCTCAGCTTTTGCTTTGCCGAGTGTTGGCACTGGGCAAACACCACCCGCAGCGGGGTCTGGGGCTGGGAATGAGCTGCTGGCCACAGAAAATTTGGTTTATTTTCCCATCCCAGCTCCCGGTGTGTGCCTGGTGGGGCAGAGTTAAGGGCACGGTTTATTTTACCACTTCTCACCCCAGGAAACTCGTCTTGTTTTGGAGCCGCTTTGCTGAGTTTGAAGCAGGAGGACGGGAGGAGGACCCCAGAGGAGAGGACTGAGGCTGGGGGTGCCAATTTAGGACAAAATTAGGCAGGGGCAGGGTGGAAGGGCGGTGGTCCCGGTGCTCGGTGCCTCTCCAGCGTCACTTTGTCCCGTCCCCATCGCATCCTCCTGGGGACCCCCCTGGGTCCTCCCTGACCCCTCCTGCCCCGAGATGTCCTCAGCAGAGGCATGGATAGGAGTAAGGAGTAAGAGTAAGGAGTAAGAGTAAGGAGTAAGAGTAAGGAGTAAGAGTAAGGAGTAAGAGTAAGAGTAAGAATAAGAGTAAGAATAAGAAAAAGGAGTAGGAGTAAGAGTAAGGAGTAAGAGTAAGGATTAAGAGTAAGGAGTAAGAGTAAGAATAAGAGTAAGAATAAGAATAAGAATAAGAAAGAATAAGAATAAGAATAAGGAGTAAGAGTAAGCATAAGCATAAGAGTAAGAGTAAAAATAAGAATAAGAGTAAAAGTAAAAATAAGAGTAAGAGTAAGAATAAGAATACTGGTGATGACAATGACGATGATGATGATGATGATGATGATGAAGAAATAACCAGCCACAGGCTCTGGGCTCGTCCCCAGTGGGCTCTGACCCCCGTTTCTCTCCCCCCCAGCCAAATACATCGGCTGCTACGTGGACAGCACGCGGCGGCGGACGCTCCGTGGCGTGTCCTTCCTGGACTACAAGAAGATGACCGTGTTCCGCTGCCAGGACAACTGCGCCGAGCGGTAAGGTGCTGGGCGAGCCCCGTGCCTCCCCCCCAGCCCCACGCAGCGGGGCTGCCCTGCTCACACAGCCCCCCGCCCCTCTCCCCTTCCTCCCTCCTCTGTTTTCTATTGATGTGTGTGATTTTGCTTTGTTTTGTTTTGTTTTGTTTTGTTTTGTTTTGTTTTATTTTATTTTATTTTATTTTATTTTATTTTATTTTATTTTATTTTATTTTATTTTATTTTATTTATTTTATTTTATTTTATTTTATTTTATTTTATTATTCTACTCTACTCTATTTTGATTTAATTTAATTCTGTTCCTTCTCCTTCTCCTTCTCCTTCTCCTTCTCCTTCTCCTTCTCCTTCTCCTTCTCCTTCTCCTTCTCCTTCTCCTTCTCCTTCTCCTTCTCCTTCTCCTTCTCCTTCTCCTTCTCCTTCTCCTTCTCCTTCTCCTTCTCCTTCTCCTTCTCCTTCTCCTTCTCCTTCTCCTTCTCCTTCTCCTTCTCCTTCTCCTTTTTATTCGAGAAACCCCACTTTCCTCCCCAGGAAAAAGGAGCTGGGGGGCTCCCTTCCGTGCCATTCCCCCACGGGGCAGGGGGTGCAGGGCTCAGATTTGACCCCTCTAGCCGTGTAGGTACCCCCCCTCTCCAACCTCCATCCTCCCCAATCACCATCCCCACAGCTCTCCAAGCACACCCATGGGCACCAGACCCACAATGATCCCCCCCACCAGGGAACCCCCCGCACCTCCCCATACTCCCCAAAATCACACAATGGATGTCCGGGGGGGGGCTCTACCTCATGTGAAGACCCCCCCAGGCTACCAAGAGCACTGGTGGCTGTGTCCCCATCCCAAGGGCTCACCCCCGGGTGCCATCTCCTGCCCCGTGTCCCCAGCATGGTGCTGAACCCCCTTTTTCCCCCCCCTAGGGGCTACCTCTACGCGGGGCTGGAGTTCGGCGCCGAGTGCTACTGCGGCCACAAGGTGCAGGCGCCCAACGCCAGCGAGCCCGAGTGCAATATGCCCTGCAAGGGCGAGCGCGCCAGCACCTGCGGGGGGGCCAACCGCCTCTCCATCTACCGCCTGGAGCTGGCCCAGGAGTCCGCCCGCCGCCGTGAGTCCGAGGGACCCCAAAATGGGGATGCTCCCCCCTGGGGGACATCGCCGACCTCGCTGGCAGGGTCGTGGCACCGCGGGAGAGGGGGTGGTGGTGGGGGTTTGGAAGGGGTTGGGGGCACGGTTAGGGGAGTTGGAAGGGGTTGGGAGATGAATTTGGGGGTTGGAAGGATTTGGGAGGCAAATTTTGGGGTTAGAAGGGTTTGGGAGCAAATTAGGGGACTGGAAGGATTTGGGAGCACAGTTAGGAGGCTGGAAGGATTTGGGAGCCAGATTTGGGGGTTGGAAGGATTTGGGAGCAAATTTTGGGGTTAGAAGGATTTGGGAGCAAATTAGGGGGTAGGAAGGATTTGGGAGCCAAATTAAGGGTTGGAGGGATTTGGGAGCACAGTGAAAGGGTTGGAAGGATTTGGGAGCCAAATTTGGGGGTTGGAAGGATTTGGGAGCAAATTAGGGGACTGGAAGGATTTGGGAGCCCAGGTAGATATTAAGAGATGAGGGTTTGATCTCTGGTGTTTGTGAATCTCTCCCCAAATCTACATTCCTTCGCCTCTCAGCCCACTGTTGGGTGGATGGGGGGGGGGCTCATTAGCAGGCGTTTAATTACCAAAGGGCCACCCACACTGCAACCTCGGGGAGGATCCATTTAGGGCCGGGCATTTCTGGTTCTCTTTCCTCTCCAAACACCTCCCAGAGGCAAGCTGGCAAAAAACCCAATTAGAGCAACGCTAACGAGCTGTACCCCAACCATCTCCCCCCCTGTCCCCCCTCCCAGATGGCAGCGCGGTGTTTCGGGGCTGTTTCCGCCGGCCAGACAACGTCTCCATCGCCCTGCCCGCCAGCCAGCCCATGCCCAACATGTCCGTGGATAAATGTGTGGATTTCTGCACCGAGAAGGTACCGGGGGGGTTACGACCGTGCCCAGCACATTTGGGGCTGATTCGGTAAAATTGGGATGCGTACGGGTTGGATTTGCTGCCCCACTCTTGGGGCTCACCAAAGGCAGCGGGGAGGGGGGTTTCTTCCCACCCTAATGATTTGCTGAGACCAGCAGGGATGCGGGAGGGGAAGGATGGACCTCGTTTTGCACCAAATCTGCCCACTGGGACGGTGTCAGCACGGAGCAGCTCATCCAGCGTGGGCACCGCCAGGCCGGGAGCGGGCATTTAATTTATCCGTTTTAATTTATCCATTCAAAATTAGGTGAATTATCCAGCCAGAGGATAAAAAAAATAAAAAATAAAATAAAATAAAAATAAAATAAATAAACTGCCCCTGCTTAAATCGCCGCGAGCAGCACCGCGGAATGGGGATAAATCCGGATACTTTGGGTGCATGCAACAAGCTGTGGGTGCCAACACCCGGAGGGCACCCAAAGCGCCCCGGTGCTGTGCACGGGAGGGGGAGGAAGGCAACAAGGACGGCTCTGCCCCTGTGTCCATCCCCGCAGGAATACCCGCTGTCGGCGCTGGCCGGCACCGCCTGCCTCTGCGGCTTCCCCACCACGCTCTTCACCCTGCACGAGCGCGAGGACGAGCAGCTCTGCGCCCAGAGGTGCCCTGGAGAGGAGTTCGAGAGCTGCGGCACCCCCGAGTTCCTGCTGGTTTACCAGACCCAGGTGCAAGGTGAGGGTTTTGGAAAGTTTTGGGGGGCTCGGGGCAGCCCCTGCTTCGTGGGCACCTCTCCACAGGGGCACCCGCGGGCAGCCTGCGTAGCTTTTTGCCTTCCATGAAAAATCGCCATTTATTTTGATTTCCCGGGAAATAAATCCTCCCGTGAACAAACAGCTTTAATTACTGCTTAACTCCGGCGCAGGAGAGAGCAGTTTGCCATCTGCCTCCAGCAGGATCCCTCCCTGCTCCTGCGTTTTTCTCCTCGCCACCGGCGGCAGCCGGCGGGTGAAGCCAACGGGGCTCACCAGACGCACGGGGTGGGGAAAATAAAAAAGGGGAAAAAAAGCAAAAAATAGGCAGAGAAACCCCCGGGAGGGCTCCTGTCCCGTGCATCTCACGGCTGGTGGGGCAAGGGATGGAAATGGAAGCGTGATGTTGGCTGGCACGGGGGGGGGAGATGCTTGGGGAGGGTTCCCGTGGGGTTTTTCTCTGCCCAGAAAGCTTCTTTATCAGAGCTACAGGGCACAAGGGTACCTCTCCCCGTCACCACCACCTCACACCCTGCCCTAGCATTTTTTGGGGGCAGCTGCAAGGAACCGAGACGTCCCCATGGCACAAGCAAGGAGCCCCTGCCCGAAATCCTCAAGCAGCCCGGTGCCAAAAGAGCCCCTGCCCCCCCCAAAATCCCTTCCCACCCCGTTTTCTCCTTGCAGACAACCGCTGCATGGACAGGAGGTTCCTGCCCACCCGCTCCAAGCAGCTCGTGGCCCTGGCCAGCTTCCCCGGGGCCGGCAACACGTGGGCACGGCACCTGATCGAGCTCGCCACCGGCTTCTACACCGGCAGCTACTACTTCGACGGATCGCTCTACAACAAGGGTGAGCTGGGCGAGGGGCTGGGTACCCCTGGTGCTGCCCCGTGCCCGCCCCGGGGAGCAGTGGTTTGGGCACACGTAGCCTCCTGCGGTGCGTCCCCCATCTCCTGGGGACGTTTCTGCTCCCATGGCTGCACCCACGATGGGACCCAGCCCCGAGGATAAGTTTTAAAGGAAAAAAAGCCCAAGGTGGGCAAGAAGTTGCCAGCTTCTCCTGATAACCCACATATTGCTGGGGCGAAACACCAGCCCCCTCATTTTATAGCCATAATTTTATCCATATATCCGCCAGCATGAGTGCGCACACGAAGAGCCTCTGCTGCCTTGCGGGGTGGCTTCTTAATCCCCTTAATTCCCTTCTTAATTTATGGGGAGAGCTCAAAGGGATAACACCACGCCGCTCCTCCTCGCCTCTGCTCCGCCCCGGCAGGGTTCAAGGGCGAGCGGGACCACTGGCGCAGCGGGAGGACCATCTGCATCAAGACCCACGAGAGCGGCCAGAAGGAGATCGAGTCCTTCGACTCGGCCATCCTGCTGATCCGCAACCCCTACAAGGCGCTGATGGCCGAGTTCAACCGCAAGTACGGGGGGCACATCGGCTTCGCCGCGCACGCCCACTGGAAGGGCAAAGGTAGGGGACGAGCACCAGCAGGGACAGAGAGGGGGCCCCGGCGTGGAAAACCCGAGCGGTGCCACCACCCGGGGTCCAGGTCTGGGCAGCTGCAGGGTGAAATTAAGCCCAGAACTCGTTAAGGCAAAATTAGGGGGGCAGCGGGTGCTGCACGGTGCTCTCCTGCCACCGTCCCCTTCGGCCGAGCCTGGCTGCTCGGAGGAAGGCACCTTCACCATGCACAGCCAGCTTGTGGAGGCTTGTTAATTATAGCAATTTACAAATTGCTGTTGTGGAATTGACTTCATTGGAAAGAGTTAAAATATTTAGCTTGATTGAACATCTGCTACCCTTAATTCCGAGTTTATTTAAGGGGATCTTTTTTTTTTTTTTCCGTTGTTGCGGTTATGTGCCTGGATTTCGTTATTGCCATGTGCTCGCTGCTGGCAGAGGCGTTTCGGCTGTGGGCTGAGCCCCCCCCGCAGCTCAGCACCCCAAGACCCCGCACCCATCCCCACGCAGGAGCTGTCCCCCCCTCCTGCCTCCCGCTGTCACCTCTCCATCGGGACTGGCTTCACCCCCACTGGGGTGGGGTACAGGGATTGCTGCTGGCTCTTACCCAAACCAAAGGGGACGCACTTTTTAATGTATGATTAGCCACCGGGTTAATTGCCAGGTTAATTAACCATTGAAATGATGGAGATTTGCCATCAGTTGGGGTCTTTAATGGGGTCGGGGTTCGCTGGGAAACGTGCGTGCCACCAGCGAGGGGCTGGAGACCTCGCTGCCCCCAGCACGGAAGCAAAGCCTGCATGAGGACATTCCATTTGTGCCAGGTTTGCAGTTAGCGCTTGGTTGTTTTCTTAAATAAATCATCTCGAGGCCAAAAGAACAACCAAAAAAAGCCAAAAGATTAAAGGTGGGGTCTCACACCACATGCAGGGTGCCAGCTCCGTGGCCACGACCGCTCCCATCACCGGTCCGTGAGCCTAAAGCCCCCGCAAGAGCATCCAGCCCCAGCCCCGCGGGATCCCAGCTCATTTCCCTCTCTAATTTTGGAGCGATTCGGTGATGGAAAATGCTGCTCCTCCCTCCTGCCTCGCAGGTTTCGCCTCCCCCCCCCGGCTGCGGCTGTGCCGCGCGCAGGCGGAGGCTGGAGGCTCGGCGCAACCCCGCGTTTTGTTCCGTGCCATTAATTTTACGGCGTCCCTGGAGCCGTTCCAAAGCAAAGTTTTATGTGATATGATTACACAAGGTGAATTGTCCTGTATCTGTTTAATGAAACAGATACCGTGTTTAATGATTCTCCGGGGAATTAAATGCAGTTAAGCTATTAATCAGGCCTCGGTTTCTTGGGGAGGACAAGACGGAGAGGCAGGTACCCGGCGCTTTTACGCATCGTAAGCGCGCTGCCAGGAGATCCACTGCTTGTTGTCCATGTTTCATTACCCTTTTTATCCCCCGATTTTTATGCGAGGATCAATTAGCCAGGAACCTGTGGGTAACGATGATTTCAGCAGCATCCATACCCACAGCTGTGTCCCCAGCCCTGAGGATGACAACAGCTCGCACTGCCCCCAAAAAGCCGAGCCATCGGAGAGGGGCCCCACAAAGCCCCTCCAGCTGTGAGGAGGGGACACTGGTTGGGGGCACAGGGACACCCCCTGACCCTCCTCGTGCTATTTTCGCAGAGTGGCCGGAAGTTCGTGGCCAACTACGCGCCGTGGTGGGCCACCCACACCCTGGACTGGCTGCGCTACGGCAGGAAGGTGCTGGTGGTGCACTTCGAGGACCTGAAGCGCGACCTCTTCGCCCAGCTGAAGCGCATGGTGGGGCTGCTGGGCATCGCCGCCTGCGAGGACAGGCTGCTCTGCGTCGAGGGCCAGAAGGACGGCAACTTCAAGCGCTCGGGCTTGAGGAAGCTGGAGTACGACCCCTACACGCCCGAGATGAGGAAGATGATCAGCGGCTACATCAAGACGGTGGACGCGGCTCTGAAGCTCCGGAACCTGTCGGGGGTCCCGGAGGATTACTACCCGAGGTGATGGCACCGACCCGGGTTGGGGGGATCTGTCCCTGCCTGGAGAGGAAAGTTTCCTTTTCCTCTGCCTGCTTCCACCCAGTGGGTGGCTTTCTTTTAATTCTCCATCTGCTGCTGCTAGCTGTTAATCAACCCCCTGCATGAGAAACGAACGCTCCCCAGCCATCGCTGAGCTTGCTTGGCCGACACCTCCACGGAGCTGGGAACCCAGGGGCTGCACGGCGCCCTCCCCACCACGACTGGTCCCCGTCCCCACCGCGCAGGTGTCCCCTGCCGTGCCAGACATCGGTCAGGACACTGAGGAGCGGGGAAATGTGGGCAGCGTGGGGCCGAGCAGCTCCGTCCTGCCCCCACGCCGGCTGCTGCAGCACCTTTAGCAAGGCAACCGGTTCTTTGCGCATGTCCCGGGGTCACTGCGTGGATCCTGCACTGCTTGTGCCGTGCCCAAAGTGTCCCTGCGGTGCCTGCTGGCTCTGGGGGCTGTCCCCACGCTCCTTGGAAACCCCTGGAAGGCTCCTGCTGGTGGGGATGGGGCTGATCCCAACTGAGGAGGAACGTCCCGCTGGCAGGGGACTTGGCACCACGGGACACGGAGGGGTGCAGCGGGGTGAGGTGGCCGTGTCCCCTGCTGGGCACCATCCCTGGGCTCTGCAGGGACCCTCCCTGTGCCCTCCCCAGCCATGGGCACACGTCTGCAGTGCTGGAGATGGGGACGCTGACCCAGGACAGAGGAGCTGCGAGCCCCCACACAAGCACCTTTTCCTCGTTCCAGAAGCTCCCCGAGGCAGAAGAGCCCCCAGGAAGGTGTTTGGGGGACGGGGAGCGGATGGGCACGGGGGGGGACTTGTTGTGCTGGGGGTCTGGGTGCGACCTGGAGCAGGTCCAAGCTGTGACCATGGGCACGACGGAGACCGAGGTGAGCGGGTGGCACGGACCTGGGCACGGGGTGAGCCCTCCTGTCCTTGGGGAGGGAGGAAACCAAAGGAGCTCTGTGCACACCCACAGGATGCCATCTGCAAATCTGGCTCCGTGCAGGGCTGCGTGTGGCCGTGGCCCCTGCCCAGGCTTCGCCCCACACAGGCGCCTGCCCTCCTCCCAGCCCCGAGTCCCTGCGGGTGTAGGTGCAAAAGCCATATCTTGTGCGCAGCCTTTTCTACAGTTAGGTCCTTAAGGATTGGCTTGGAACTCTTGATCTTGATCGAAACACGTGCACAGGCCGAAATCTAGAGACACCTATCGAGCTATATTCCAAGAGAGAGAAGAAAACTCCGCTGGCAAAAGGAGAATTTCGATAAATTATATTTTTCTAACGCGCGTGCGGAGCTGACGCCGCCTAAGGGGGGCAGGACGGGGTGCCGGGGCTGCGGGGACCCCCCCCTTGGCTCCACAGTTTTCGGGTCTCTGGGCAAAGGGAGCCGCTCGCCCCCGAATGTATTTTTGTAAGGAGCGTGCTGGTTTTACCTCGTCCTTTGCTGGAGGTCTCCAGGAGCCCGGGTGCGCCCGTCCCGGCAGCGGGCACCAACCCGACCTCGCGCTCCTTGGTCCGCGGCGGCCGCGGGGCTGCCTACCTCTGTCCGAACAAATCCTCAGGTCAACCCGGCTATTAAAGGAGTTTTGTTGCTATCCCGCCTCCCCGTGTCTTTGTGGGGTCCCCCCGGGGGGGTGACGCCGGGTCCCAGCCCCGCTCTCGTCGGCGTTAATTGCGTTAATGACGTTCCCCCATCCGAAGGGTGCCCCTTCCTGGCAGTTTTATCGCCCCTACAGCATCCTTAAAGGAAGGTTTATTCCGGAGCGTAGTGAGAGCTGATAGATTTACTGCAAACTTGATTTCCATCGCCTCTTATCATTCCTGGGGCCCTATAAAAAAGAATGGGCTTGGTGGGATTTATTCCTTTGCTCCTGGCCAGCCGCCCTCGTGGCTGGAGTTTCCGAAACGCTTTTAGTTTTAGCGGCAGCACCGAAAGCACGTGTGGGACGTCACTCGCTCGGAGGGGCATCACGTGCAAAGGGGACAACGCTCCCATAACCCCAGGGACATAATTAACACCCCCCAGCAATTAATCAGTGAGGCAGACCCATTCAGAGGCTCCGTCTCTTGCAGCAAGCGCTCGCTGCTCCTGCCCTCCGGGACCGGCACGCGATAGCAAAGTTTGCACTGCCCCTAGAAAAAGGAGCATCCTAGGAAGGATGGAAACCCCTGGAAGGATGCTCCTTCCTGCAGCATCCACACAAAGCTCTCAACATTTTCTAACCACCCTGCTCAGCCGTGTCTGCCTCCCCATGATGGTTTTTAAAAGCAGCAAATAAATCCTCCCAGCCTCGGCGAGCATCCCTCTGCGGGACTGGAGGCTGCCGAGGGGTGTCCCCGGCCCCCTGGCATCCCTCCTGCATTAAAATCCCCCCCTTTTTTATTTTTTTTATTTTTTTTTTGTGATATCTTCAGGCTCCATCACCCCCCATGCTCTGCATCCCCTGCGCCGCGCCAGCTGGGCTGGATGGGTTACTCAGCAGTTGCCCCGGCAACGGCGTCTGCACCAAAACCGCCCGCATTTCCCCCAATTCTGCGTGGGTTCGGCGCTCAGCAGGCTGCCTGGGGGCGGTGGGAGGGGATGGGGATGAGATGGGGACGAGATGGGGACGGGGGTGTGATGAGGATGAGGATGGGGATGGGGAGCAGCTCAATTCCCAGCCACACCAGTGACATCTCCTGGTGATGAACTGGGGGCCCCAAGCATGGGCTCCTCTTCCTCCCAGATGAACACGAAGCTGTTTAAATGAGAGGGAAAAAAAAAAAAGAAAAGAAAAAAGAAAAAAACAACACCTTAGCAGCATAATACAGAAGCTGCGACAGCACTTTTACAAAAGCCATAAAATGTATGGGAGATGAGGGTTATAAATCCGAGCAGCCGTAATATTCATCCGCTACAAAAGAAGCGTGTTTATTTATCGTTTTTACTATTTTCTGTAAAATTTACAGTTGACAATCTGCCTGAATGCAGCGGAGATAATTTAAACATGGCTCCAGCCCGCCTGGCACTGAGGGAAGGGAAATGATAGCGTGTTTATTCTCTCTCTCTTTTTTTTTTTTTTTTCCTTAAATCCAATCCCAAATAAAGGGTGTGATTTATCGGAGGAGTAAAGCACCGCTTTATTTCAGGGCTGTGACAGCTAATTGAAAAAGAACGGTCATTAAGGACGGTAATGTGTTCCGCAGAAATGATTTCGGTGTATTCTGGAGTCATTTCCCAAACGCTCGTGCGAAATGAGCCCCAGCCCCGCAGGTACGGGGCGCTGGCAAGAGGCAGGAATTTGGGGAGGGGAGCGGTGGGTTTGGCACACCGGGAGGGTGCTGGGGGTGGTGGTACCAGGCTGGGGGTGCTGGGCCCTACAGAGCATGGGACACCCATGGGTGGGGAGATGCTAGGATGGCTTGCGGGTGGAGAACGGGGTCTTGGGGTGGGGATGGGGTCCTGGGGTGGGGATGGGGTCCTGGGGTGGGGATGGGGTCCTGGGGAGGGGTAAAGGGGTCTGGGAATGGAGCTGGGGGTCCCAGCCCCCAGACCTGACGCTCTTCTCTCCCAGCTAGCCCTGCACTACCCTAAAACCTTGATCTGCAATATTTAGGCAATATTTAGGTGCATTTCTTTGCAACTCTGACAAAAGGGGAAAAAAAAAAATCGGGGTTTGGAAGTGCCTGCACAGAGCGGTTCTGCTGCTGAGGTTCTGCAGCCAGGCAGGATTACACGCTAGGAAGCACCCGAAAATTTTTGGGCTCCTTTCCCTTCGTGTGCAGAGCTTCGGCACACGTTGGGGGGATTTGTATGGAAAGCAGGTTTCGTATTAAGTAGGCAAACAACCAGGGAGGCGAGCTCAAATATTAGGTTTCCAAAGCTGTCATGGTAATGATGGTTTAACCCAAGGTTACGTACCGAGTCGCCGCTTTTTTGGGGAGGTATTTGCTGGAATAACAGATGGGATGGGCTCGCAGAATCCAGCCACAACACCTCCTGCTCTCACTGCGTGAGGTTTTCACCCCCATAACCCAAAAATTGGCTGCCTCTGCGAGCACCCACAGCATCCCCGCGGCTCCGTGCTTGGGCTTCACCAATTGTTTTTTTTTTTTTCTGCTCCTGGTTTGGACTTTTTCCTTTCAATTTTTAAGGAAAAAAAAGAATTCCCCAGCCTTTGTGTGCACCTGTGAGCAGACCTGCAATGGCCACAGTGGGTGATGCGTGGGGAAGATCCTGGGGGCACCACGAGGGTTGGGACCCCCCAGGGGCACCCAAAATGTCCCCAAAGTCATCTCCCCCCTGTCACCTGCATGATCCTTCCTCGTCCTCCCAGGAGTTACAGGCTCTGGGGGTGACATGGAGAAATCAAGCCATAAATAAGAGCGACACCGGTGTCACCCGTTTGTCACCGTCAAGAAGCCCAGCCCGTGAATTATCTCCCAAATTAACCGTGCATGAAATTGGATTGAGATGCTGCTCGGCCACCCTTCACCGGGGCACTCTGCAAGGACCCACCAGGACTCACAGACCCAGCATCCAAAAGGCACCCGGCTCTGAAGAAAAGGGGCTTTTTTTTTCCAAGAAAACTTCAAATTAACCTTTTCTCCTTATTTTCTCCCATTTGGTGACCCTGGGCACAAGCCCCCACCCTGGCGGGTGGCTCCTGGCCAAAAAGCCGTGCGGGTTGCCTGGCTCCAAAACCTCCGTGCAGGAGTCCCACAACGCTCGGTGGGCACCGTGTTTATTCTGGTGCCTCTGCCGGGTGCAGAGTGCTCACGTCACAGTTCAAAACAAGTTGTGCTAGTACCAATACACCACAAAATGTTAAAAAATAATTAGTTATACGCATACATGGGGCAGGGGGAGAGTGCCACCAAGGTTGCCCGCAGCGGTGCCCACCGAACCACCCATCCAGACAGCCAGGCAGTCCTTGGACATGTCACCTGCCAAAGAATTCAGCTGTTTTCCCCATTTTTGCTTATTTTTCCCTTTGTCACGAGCCTGTGGGCTCCTCACAGAGCACCCATAGCTCAGTCCTCAGCATCTCAGGGCCCAAACATCACCCGTGGCCTCCGGTCTGTCTCTGATAAACGGAGGGGTGCCCTGGCCAGGAACACAGGCCACACGGTGACATTATGGATAAAAACATCCCGCAACGTTTTCTTAAATAACTGGGACAGCTCGGGGCAAGGCCGGAGGACCGCGGCCCTCCCGCCAGCACCCTTAGAGGACCGTCGTCTCCTTCTCGGTCATCGAAGACATCTTGGAGAAGCTCCTGTGGACGATGCTGGAGTGGCCCGTCTCCTCGCTGAGGGCGTTCACCAGCCTGGAAAGGAGGGTGACCTTGAACTTCTTGAAGTCCTGGCCCATGAAGACGTAGAGGACGGGGTTCATGCAGCTGTTGGAGGCCGCCAGCGCCGTGGTGATGGGGATCCCGATCTCGAACACGGAGCGCGAGACCACGTCGGGCTCCGTCTCCAGGAGGTTCAGCAGGTGGTAGGGGCTCCAGCAGAGGAAGAAGGTGACGATGATGGTGACGATGATCTTGAAGGGCTTTTTGGACTTGGCCAGGCGGTTTCGCCGCAGGTTGAAGACGATGGCGACGTAGCAGAAGGTGATGATGGTGATGGGGAGGATGTAACCCGCCAGGAACCTGGTGATGTTCACCGTCCGGTGCCTCATCAGGGCCAGGGCTTGGTAAGACTTGTTCCTGGACAGGGAAAAGTTGCTAAAACAAATCACGGAGTTGCGGGCCTGCGCCGTGTCTCGGAAAATCAGAGACGGGCAGCTCATAACGATGCCGACGGTCCAGATGATGAGGCAGACCAAATAGGCCAGGTTGGTGGATCGATGGTTTTGGGACCAGACGGGAAAAACCACCGAGACGTAGCGGTCGAAGCTGATGGTGGTGAGCAGGAGGACGCTGGTGTACATGTTGAGGATGAGGAGGAAGGAGTTGAGCTTGCACATGACCGTCCCGAAGATCCAGTTGTAGCGCATGGCCGTGTAGGCGATGTTTATGGGCAGGAAGATGTTGAAGAGGAAGTCGGCGACGGCCAGGTTGAGGAACCAGACGGCGTTGACCGACCTCTTCATCTTCAGGGTTATGATGGCGATGACCAGGCCATTCCCCAGGATGCCCAGCACGCAGGACACGCTGTAGATGACGACGGAGAGGATCCTGGCGATGTCCTTGGGGTCGTGGGACGGGCTGCTCCACGCGCTGCTCGTCTCCTCGTAGGTGTAATCCTCCAGGTAGTCGTTGTAGTTATCAAGGTCGTCGGAGTAATCGGACAGGTTGGAGAGCGCCATTATCAGTAATAAATCACCCCAAAATCACCCCCCGGGCAGCGCCGGGCTCTCGGGGTGGTTCCTGCTGAGCAAATACATGGGGTTAGATCAGACGGCACGGCCAGGGGAGCAGCGGGGTGCTCGGGGAGCCAGGACCGGCAGCTCCCTCCTCACCTGCACGGCCTCGGTTCGGAGCTGCAAAGTCACGGCTCGGGTCAGACAAAATCCACTCACCCTCGGGTGGATGAGGCTGGGGAGGAAGCAGAATTAAATAATTAAATCCATGAACATGCGTGAGGTGGCTGGACTCAGAGTTATCTCTGTGATTAAAGCAGTGCCCTGGGGGCTTTGTAAAATACTGATGGTGAGCGCACACGGTGCCTTTTGCCATGATCAAAAGCCGGGCTCCTGCCACGGGTTAAAGCCAAGCTCTGGGCAAGTCCCAGCCCCAGACATCACACCTGAGCTCGTCCTTTTGGGAAGAAGAGGGCTCCGCCTCGAACCCGGCCGCATGCTGCTGCTTTCATGGCTTTGAAAGGAATCTAAAATCAAAGTTCCCACCGCACCGGCACGGCTCTGAGCCCGCGGCGTGTTTGTACAACAAGCTATTGAGCTATTGTTCCTCCCTGGGCTTTTCCTGAGGTTCCTTCCCGTGCGGCCCCGCTGCGCTCTGCCCCTTCCTTCCCTCGCTGCCACTCCCATTGGGGACGTGGTGATTTGGGGAGCGGAGCCCTGGGGGAGCCGAGGGCAGGAGCAGCTTTCGGAGGTCCCATCCAACCTCTCTCCATGGATTTTGAGGCCAGGAGGATGCTAAAACCCCTCCAGGAGTGATGCAGCTCGGCCCCTTTGCTTCTCCCTGTGCCAAAAGAGGTGGCCAGGGGACAATTCCCCGAGGGGCGCAGATGCCCATGGGTGCACACCCCGAAGGGCATCACTTTTCCCACACCCAACACGGGTTCGGTGACCAGGGAAGTGGCTCTGGAGCCATGCCCGGGCTGGAGCTGCTGCAGGGGCTGCTCCCAGCCACAATTAATGCGCTTCTAGCCCAAAACTCGCCCTCGAGCTTGAGCTGGAAAAGCCTCGCCCCAGCAAACCCCTGACGGTCGAAAGGAGGAATTAAAGCTGATGACCCAGGGGAAGTGACAGGATCAGCAGAACCGGCGGCCGTGCTGCTGGCTGGTGGTGCTCCCGGGGAACGAGCCGTGCCAGCCGCCACCTCCACCGCCCAGCAGCTCCCACAGCAGCCCCGTCCCAAAAACAGGTGGCACTTGTGGCCCCCGCTGGTGGCACAGCTCTGCCCCCAGCAGCAGGGACCCACCAGACCCCAATTCCCCTGCTGCTCCCAGCCCTGACCCCGCTCCTCCTCCTGGGGGGACCCTGGGCAGGGCAGGCCCCCCACTTGTGCCCGCTCATCCATTTTTAATGTAAAAGCTGCTTTTTGCTGTTATTTTACAGTCCCTGAGCCCGGCGAGCGCAATGACATTCAGCTTGACATTTCGGAGCTGTGTTTAATGGATTATTTATTTGAGTTGTCTGTTTATTTTGCACCTCCCCGCCCTCTTTTCCCTTCGACTGGGTTTTAAAGTTTCTAAGGCAGGGGTACGAGGCAGGTGATGGGAAGGAAGCCCCCCCAGACCCCCCAGGTTTAGCAGAAAGCCCTGGCACGGGAACGTGCCCTGAATGAGGTCCCTGTGGCAGCGGGTGCACGGCGAGCACCCTGCCCGTGCCAGGTCAGCGAGGGTCACCCAGTCCCATTCCTGCCAGCCTGGCCTCCGAGGCACCAAAACCTTTTTTTTTTTTCCTTTTTTTTCTCCGTTTTGCACAAATCCTGCTTCCTCCCACCCTCGTCATCCCCTGCCCTCTCCACGTCAGAAATGCGCAATGCCAGCGGGAGCCTGGCCGCCGGCTCCGCGCACCGGGGGCGAGAGCTGGAGCCCGACGCAGCCGGAAAAGTCAGCCAGCAAATTCCTACCTGCCCTCCCGCCCCGAAAAGGCAGAGCCCGAGGGGTGGCCGTGCGAACCAGCTTCGTGCCTCGCTGCAAGAAAACCCGCAGACTTTGTCCGAGCGAAAAACCCCCACGCAACCCTGAGAGCGCGTCGATGTTCCTTCTGGGCTGCAAATACCTCGCTTGAGCCAAAACCATGTTACTCCCTGTTCCCTATTCATCTCTGTCCTCCTACCTCACCAGAAACCAGCACAGGATCTACCCAAAATAACCCGCCAGCGCACAGCCGCCCTCCCCGTGATCCACACAGCTGCGCTGCTCCGGGGACCCCGGGGGCTGAGCTCAGCACCGGGCTGGGACCCCCCTGGGGGGCCGTCGGCGTCCCAGGGCGCACGGCGAGGATGAGGTCAGGGCTGTTGTTCTTGGGACGGCAACAGGAAGCGGAGGGAACAGCAGAAATGTTCAAATCCAGCTTTTCTGGGCGAAAACGTTTCCGCGGCCGGCTGGGGCTCGCAGGACGGATGTGACTGGGAAAGGGGGAGCGCGGCCGGATCCCACCGCGGGGCTGCCTCTCGCCACGGGATGCTCACAAATGATTTGCAGCTGCTGGATGCAGGCTGAAAACCAGCCTGGAATTTGTTTCACCCCCCCGTGCCCTCGCTCCCCATCCCAACGCAGCCGCGCGGTGACCGGCGCTGAGCAAGGGGCATCCCCATGGCCCCCGGGAGCCGGACCCAACGTGGGTGGGGGGTGAGGAAGCAGCCCCAAAATCCCCCTGCACCTGCCCCACGGTGCTCCCCACGAGCTCTGCGTTTCCTCTTGGCAGCTCCCAGAGCCGTGCAGGGCACTGCCAGTGCCCAGGGGAGCGAGGAAGGAGGGAAGGAACGGGAAAGCATCTCTGGGTGCCCAGCTCCGATTCACATTTCTTTGAGCTGGCAATTGCCATGGAAACGGAGAGGGCTCGCGTGCCATCCCGCTGCAATGCTCCCAGAGGATGCCCCAGGAAGGATTCCTCGTCCTGGGTGCAAATTGGACACCGACAAAATGCTCAGAAAAGGCGAGCTCAGAGCTTGGCACCGCTAAACCCCCGGAGGGAGGTAACCCAGGAACTGGCCGGGAACCACAAGCTCAAGCCCTATTTTTAGGTTAGGTGCATGCAGAAAAACTTCCTGGCATCTCAGCGGGGCGCCCTCAGCCCCACAGCAGCCCCGCAGCATCACCTCCCGGCCCCATAGCATCACCGTGGGTCCTTGGGGGGGGAGCGGAGCCGGTGGGGACCCCCGTGCTGCAGCCCCCCTGAGCACCCCAACCCCAGCAGGGCATCAGCAGCCCCTGAGGCCGAGAAAGGGGGCACACAGAGGGGAAACTGAGGCACCGAGCCCTGCCCGAGCCCTACCTGCATCCACGGTGCTCGGGTGCATCCCTGCTTCGAGCACCCCTGCCCCGCTCCACCGGGACCCCCCGGCCCCTGCCCGCACGGGGCCCTGTGCCGAGGCTCCCTCCCCGGCTGTGTGAGCGAGGGAAAAAAAAGGAATAAGTGGGAAAGGCAGCCTTAAAAAGCCGGCTGTGCCCAGGGTGGGACAGAATAACAGCATGAGTCAGTGTTTATCTGGGCAGAGCTGCGCGGGCTGGGTCGGGACGGGACGGGTCAGGTCTCCGTGAGCTGCCCCCGGCTGTGGCACGGGGACCTGGGCAGCGTGTGGGGTCACCCCGACAGCGAGGGCACCCCGCTCCGGCCAGAAATGGGTGCCTGGCTGCCCAAAAAGATGCTCACCCCGGGGTGAAAGTGCTCCAAGAGCTTGGCGAGGAGAGAGGCAAAGCGCCGGGGATGCTGCGAGGTGCCCGGGGGGGCACAGCCCCGGCCCATCGCTCCCCCCTCCTCCTGCTGTTCTCATGAAGGGCTCAGTGTTACGGGGAGAAACCCGAGAGCTGGTTTTGGGCACAGATTTGCTTTAAAAAAGGGCAGTTTATGCTCCTGTGCTGCTTGAGATGAGGCGAGATAATAAAAGATCTCTCCTCTCCTATTCTCCCTTTCACCTATATATTTATATAGATGTTGGCTGCTGTTAATTCTCGGCCCTCCTGGCATTTAGCAGGCAGTAAAAAGGCCAAGAAAAATCCCTTTTGCTGCAGGCAGAGCCCTGCGGGGACCCCGGCCCCCTCCATCCCCGCGGGACGCAGCAGCGCCCGGCCATGGGTGCAGGACAGAGGGCGAGGGCTGCGAGCTGGGCGATGTGAGGGGCACCCATTGGGGCACCCATCGGGGCACCCATCGGGGCACATCTCCCCGTTCCCTGCAGCTCCCATCCCTCAGGGCACATCTCCCCATTCCCTGCACGTCGTCGTCGTCGCAGCTCCCCGGCTGCCCGGCACGGTGCCAGCAGCCCAGCTGCACGGCTCCGCATCCCCACGGGCACAGCAGCAGCCCACGCGGGGGCAATAGGGCGGGAAATGGTGTAAAATCAGGGGATTTGCCTCCCCCAGGAGGGCTGCGGGGCTTGCTCAGGGTGCCCCGTGTGTCACTGGGGCTGTTTGGGGACAAAGCCAGCACGCGCTTGGGGACGCCGTGCCCAGGCACCTGCGGAGCTGCCCCAGCGCTCGGGATTTCAAGGGTGCGCAGAGGAAGGAAACCAAGAAAAGGAAACGCTCTGTCCCTCCTGCTGCCAGACGGGCAGACGTGGCCGTGCTGGGCTGGGGGGGCTTTTAGGGTCAGGCAGAGTGCAGCCCCACAGCCCTGCTTGCTCCCCGGAGCAGGAGGGGGCACCCCGAAAGCCCCCGATGCACGGGACCCCGTCCCCAACGCGTGGCAGCAAGGCAAAGCACCCCATCCTCTTTGTCCCCCCAAATTGGACTCTTTAAGATCCCCTCTCCCCCAAATTGCATCCAGCAGCCCCTTTCCTGAGCCCCTCCCTGCAGCTTTCCCACACGCAGTGCTCCTTGCTGATGGGCAGGGTGCAAAAATCTTTTCTAAAAACTTTATTTTTTTTAAATATTTTTGTTTTTAATGAAAAGCAGAAAAAATCAAGGGTGGCGGTGACCTCCAGGACCCCAACACATGGCACGCGTTGGGACCCTCGGAGGTCTCCACCACCCTCTGCCAAGCCAAACCCCAAACCCAGTTGATAATAACAGGGAGGAGAAAAGCCTCGGCTGGCTGCGGTGCCCTTGAGAAAGGAAAGATTTTCTGCTGGCTGCAGCAAAACCCTCCCCGCACCCCGAGCATTGCTCCCAAACTGCACGGGCACCACCTGAGGAATATAAAAATCCCGGAGGGATTTACCTGAAGCTCCCAGCTCGCCAAATCCCCGGGGTTTTGCTCACGCAGAGGCTGGATTACATCTCCCCTGCTACAGCCCCGTCAGGATCGTGCCAGCAGCCCTGGGCTTGTGTCACTTCACCGCGAGCCGCCGGGGCCGTGGATATTGCTGAGCTTTCTCATCCCGAGGAGGACACGCACGTCTTGCGGACGGGAGAACGAGCAAAACCTCGCTCAGCCTGTGGCACAACAGAGCAGACGTTGCCTTGGCACGGAGCTGGCCCGTGCCTGGGAAGGAGGAAGCGATGCTCGGCGGCAGGATGTGGGGACGCAGACCCTTATTTAGAGGCTCTCGTGCGCAGCCCAGCTCCCCCCCGGTGCCGTGCCCACCCCCGGGGGCTGCTGCCTGCCCCTCGCGGGACCCCTGGGGCAGGGTTTGGGCACCTCTTGGTGGCTCACGGCCATGGGTTTGGTGCTCCTGGTGAGCAGCACCAAAGGGTCCCCGCGGGCTGGGCTGGGGCATCCGCACCCGGGCTCCCCGCTGAGCCGCTCCCCATCACCCCACAGCAGTGGGAAGGGAGGAGAACAGCCCAAAAATGAATCTCAGGGTGGACAGGGGGACACCCAGCCAGCAAGGAAGCCAAAGAGCAACATCCGTGGCCAGCACGGGGGGTGCGCGGCAGAGCCACGGCGCAGCACGTGAGCGCACCCCCAAGGGGACTGCAGCCACGGGGCCAGCCCGAGCCAGGCACGTGTTGGCCCCCGACGCCCCCGAGGTGCACGGCCCCGTGCCGCCCCCAGCGCCGTGCTGGCCAGGTCCTGGCTGTCCCCAGCTGCTCGTCCAGCTGTGACCCACGCACCGAGGGGGGGGCCGGATCCGGCGGTGCGCTCCCGGGAAGGGAACAGCCCGTCCCGAATCGCTCCGGGATGAGCGGAGGTGCGAGGAGGCAGGGGGGCTCCATGGGAAAAATGGGGTTTCCCCGTTGATGCCCCCTTCCCAGCTGCTCCACAGCCATGGGGGGGTCACTGAGGGTTGTGAAACTGTCCAGAAATGGGTGCAGAACTGCAAAACCACTGCAAGTGTGTGAGCTGGGACAGCCCAACGAGAAGTGGCACCTCTGGGGGCAGTCAGGGCCCTGCAGGTGGTGATTTCTTGCCCCCCCCCCGCAAACCCCAAGTGTTCCGGGACGGGGTCGCACGGCAGGGGCTAAAAAGAGGAATTGAGGCCCTGCTGCGATCCCGGCTTTGCACAACGCCGGGTTACAAAACCGCCCCGTGGCTGAATCAGGAGGAAAATTGCTGATGCGCCCGGATCGGCGGCGCCCGGCCGGAGAAAGGAGAAGAGAAGCGAGGCCCCCGCAAAGTGCCCGGGCAGGGGGGGATCTGGAAATGTGAGCAGCTTGTGGGCATCACGCTGGTGCTGTCCTTGAACCATCCCCGGCCAGGGGCTGGCAGGACCCTCGGGGTGATGGTGGTGGTGCAGAGCCCAGCGGAGCACAGCCCCTTGGCCACCTTGGGGAGCGCGGTGCCCCAACCCTACAGGGGGGCGCACGGGCTGGTGCTGTCCCCGTCCCCATCACAGCCCCATTACCATGCCAGCAGGACCCGTCCTAACCCCTCCCATGGCCAAAGACCCCAATTCCTCACCACAACCCGCCTCAACGAACCCCTCCACCACCACCCGGTGCCGGCACTCGTGCCGCAGGGGGACCCCGGCTCGGCCACCACCTTCCCATGGGGACAGCACGAGGGACACCACAATCAGGCGGGGTTGGGAATGAGCCCCCCAGCCCCAAAAGGTCCACAGGGCATGGGGATTTCAGCATGGGCTGCTCCTCTCTTCCCCCTCATCCCAATACCTGCAGCGGTGCCGCTCTCCCCCTCTGCTGCGGGCCGGGGAGGATGAAGGCAGCGGCTGGGAGCGAGGAAGAGGAGGTCGGAGGACGCTGGCGGCGCCGGGCCACGCGTGTCGCGGGGCACAGTGCCGCTCCCAAACCGGGTTTTAAGGGGAAGGGGAGGGGGAAGCAGCCGCAGCGGCATCCTCGGGGTGTTTCTGGCAGCATTTTTGCTCCGCGAGCAACAGCTGGGAGAGGGTGGGAAAGCTGGCGGGGATCCTGCGGTGAGCCAGCGCTCGGAAGCAACGCGCCGCTTCCCGTGGGGACCCCTTTCCTGCCCACCCACCCCCCCCCCAGCCGAGCCCTCGTGGTCCTCACAAAGCTCGGGGGCTGCAGGACGATGCCGGGTGGGACCACGGGGGTCCCTGCGGGGCCAGGAGGCTGCCAGCTGCCCCCTCCCCACCCCGTGTCCCCCCACCCTCCCGCCGCCCCCAACTCCTTCCAAGACGTTGAGTCACTTCCCCTGGCGAAATCTGGCTCCCAAACGCCGCCGCTGCTGCTGCTGCTGGGGCTGCTTTATCCCAGGGCTTTTATCACCCTTTTTTTTTTTTTTTTAGCCCCTCGCTGATGGCTTTTGGTGCTTTTCACGGGAGGGGGCTGCAGAGCAAGGCGAAGGGGGGGGGTTCACCTGCGAGCCTGGCCCCGTTGCCAGCCCGGCGGAGGCCGTGCGGTTTTCCGGGGCTGTCCCTGCCTCGGCGAGGCTGAGCCTCGCAGCACGCCCCCGCGGCACAGGAGGTTCCAATAACCCCGCTCTTGATGTGGCACCGAGCGGATCCCCTCCTTCCTCCCCGTGGCTCCCACACCTCCCCGGAGGGCTCGGCACTTCGCGTGCCAGGGCAGCACCGCACCGGGGGAACCGCCCCGATTGTCCCACGCTTAAAAAAAAAAAAAGGTCACTTTGGGATAAATCAGTGGTGTCACCTCCTGCCCTGAGCCCTCCGGGCAGGGACACGCCTGCGGATGCTCTCCTTGCGCCCCCCGGGAGCTCTCACGTCTCCAAAGTAGCCATCACGGGGTTCCTTCATCAATGCGTCCCCCCAAAAATGGGATTTATCATCAGATTGAATTTAAGGGGTGTCCTGGGAGCGAGCAGGATGAAGGCTGCCTCTGGGGGGGAAAAAAAGGTGAAGGCAGCACCCCGGGGCGCTCACCTTCCCCCTGCCTCCGGGTCCCTTCCCAGGCATCTGCAATTCCCACGGGCGGGCAGGATGCGGGGTGGGATCCCCTCACCCGCAGTTCTCCCCGTGCGAAGCAGAACCACGAAGGTAAAACCACGCTGACACGGGGCAAAAGCCGTGCTGACACGGGGTAAAGCCGAGCCCCGGGGTTTGCTCTGTGGTTTGGGGCTTCCCTGCGCGCTGCTGAGCGCCGCTTGCTCAGCGAAAGGCGGCCGGAGAGGGGTTGGGAAGGGACCCGCGGAAACGCCGCGGTGTGACGGGAGCTGCCACCACTTACAGCCTCCGGGAACCCTCCAGGATGCCCAGATCGGTGGGAATTGGCCTGAGTCACCTCCGAGCTGCTCACACCGAGGTGTCCCCTGCGCCCCCGGGGGCTGGCTGCGTGATCCAGCAGCGCTGGATGGAAAAGCAGCACGGAGCCCCCCGCTCCAGGGCTGGTTTTAGATGTGGGGGCACAACATAGGGCTCCCCCCGCCGTGATTTCCCATTTCAGGGCTGGTTTTGGCCCAAACGATGCTCTCAGCTCCTAGCTGGGGCCAGCCTTTGCCCTCAGCCCCCTCAGCCCTGCTCGTTTCGGGTGCCTGGCCCAGGAGAGGTGGGGAACAGCCGCACCACCTGCCCACGAGCAGCTCCCAGGCCGTGAGCAATCTCCCTTTTATCCCTCTTTCAGCCTTTTTCAGAGCCAGCAAGGCTCAGCCGGCACCTCTGGGACTGCACGCAGCCCCCCAGCAGCTCGGCAGCCCCCCAGTATCCCCGTGGGGATCCCCAAAACCTCTCCCCACGTTTCCCGTGCGTAACCAGAAGGAGCTCGCCCCGGGACCTGCAGCGCTTCCCATCGCCGCCGCGTCCGAGTGGAAGCAAAAACTCATCCCAAAAATAAAGCAGCCTGCACACAGGATGTCGGAGAGACTGCTCGCCTGCCACGTTTCGCTGATTTGCTACAACCACGGGAAAAAAATAAATAAAATAAAATAAAATAAAAACAGTCCCAGGCTTGTGCAACGCGCGGCTTATAAATAGCAAGGCAGCAGCAGAGCAATAGCACGGGGCTGAGGGATTGCAAATTTGCCCAGCACGGGACATCCATTTCTTTTAATGATGTCTTCTACCCGCCCTGCTCTGCTTTTGCCCCTTCCCTGCTCTGTTTCAGCTCCACAGGGGATGTTCAGGGGGGTCTCTCCTCGTGGTTGGGGTTTCAGCACCCCCAGGCTGCCTCCAGCACAGCCGCTGCGAGCCCTCGCTCTTCAAAGTCCCCGTTTATTTTACAGCCCGAGCAAAATTAAGAAAATGCCTGATTAAAATTGCCCGCGGCAGAAAGCGAGCGCCTGTGCCAGGGGCCGAGGTCGGTTCTGGGTGGATTTTTTGTTAATTAAAGGGAAAAATAGGCTCGGTTCCTTTCGCACCGAGGGTCGGAGGGGGACGGGCAGAGGCTGGCAGCTCCCTGCGAGCTGGGGTGGCCGTCACAGCGGGATTTTTTGGGAAGCACTGGGAAAACAAGGCTTGGGAAACAGCTTGGATGTTTTTTTGGGGCCTGAATCCCACCTTTCAGCCCCGTTGCTGATGCCACATCCAAGCCGCTGCCGACTGCGGTGTCCCTCCGAGGGTTACCGGTGAGCTCCCCACGCCCCAAGCAATTCACCCGATTGATCACAAGATTAATGGGGACGATAAAATTACTTTTTCTTGGGGATGATAAAATTACTTTTTCTCCTCGGAACATCACCACAAATCTGGGATAAAACCCACCTGGCAGTTTCCCATACTCGGGGACCGAAGGTGTCACCAGGCCCCTCACTGCGGGGATTTGCAGTCCCAAACAGATTTCCCCAGGCAGTTTTCCCATGTGCAGCCCAGAAAAACAAACAAAACAAACCAAAAAAAAAACATGCAAGACCTGGGTTTGTAAAATGAGGGGATTCAGGGAGGTAGAGATGCGTTTTGGTCATCTCACAGCAAAGCGAGGAGCAGCGATGTGACGTGGCTGATACCCTTTAAGACCCTCGGGAATAACCCAAATATTAAGCCTCCAGCTGGATTTATCTGAACAACACCAAAGGGCTCTGAACTTTACAAATACCACCAATAAACCCTTCTTCTTTAGGAATTTTATTTATTTTTTTTTAATCCAATTTCCTTGCAGTAATTTCTGGGCCACCGCTTTCCGTGGTGGGCTCGTTGCAAGGCGAAAGGGGGAGCGCCACCGAGGGCCCCCCCCCCCCGGAGCAGGACGCTGCAGACGGGGAAATTTTGGAGCTCAAAACCAGCAGGTCCCCATCACATTCCCCATCTCCAGCTGCCGGGAAGAGGCACGGCCGCTGTTGGGTTTCGGGAAGCCTCGGCCCCGCTGCCAGCTCCCAGCGGCGGTGCCATTTTCAGGCTCTTTTCATCCCGAGCTCTGGGCACGGGTCGGCCCCAGCCCGGGTGATAAAAATAAGAGCAAAAATGTTCCTTTTGGGGCCAGTGCCAGCCATGGGGCTATTTTTGGAGTGCCATGCCCAGGGTGCCCGCACCCATCCCTGGGCTTCCCACCGCTCTGCTCCCCTGGTGCCCGTGGTGTCCAGTCCTGCCCCTGCTTCCTGGATCCATGCATGATCTGAAAATTATTTAAAAATCAGTAATAACAAATGTTGGAGTATCTAGAAGGGGATTAATTAGCGCTGTTGATGGAAGCCAGATCTAGAATTTGCCTTGGAAAGAAAACAAATCAGAGCCCAAAAGAGAGCGCAGGGAGCAAAAGCTGCGCCGGAGAGCCGCATGCAAATGTTGCGTGTCACATTATCCAGAATTAATGCCTCGGTTTGTCTGCGCAGATGAAAAGGCTTTAACCTAAAGAATCAATTAAGTTTTCTTGCAGACAGCCTAATCTAACCCATGGGGGACTTTGGAGGGAGCGCAGCCCCTCGCCTTCCTTGATGGCAGCCGTAAATCTCCGCCTGATTGCGGCACCGAGGCGCGGAGCGGGGCGAGATGTTTGCTGCGGGGCGAGCAGGGGGTCGGAGAGGTTTTGGGATCACCTGGCCGTGTGTCCGGACCGCCCTGAGCCTGCTCT